TTTCCTCCACCCCCGCCCCTTCGAAAATGAATAAATGTACTTTTATTGATCCCCGTTGAAGAATAAAAGTAGCTTACACTTTCAAGTAGGCTACGATAGAAGGATCAACAGTTCGGCGCTTATATCAAAGTCACATAAAACACGAATACCGCACTAATAGAGATACTTTTACAAACATCACAACATTATTGGTCGCCAGAGTGAACAATAATTACAATTTTCTACGGTAATGTAGTTGTACTAAAATAGATCTAGTTTTTTCTTTCTTTCTTTCTTTCTTTCTTTCTTTCTTTCTTTCTTTCTTTCTTTTTTTCTTTCTTTCTTTCTCTCTTTCTCTCTTTCTTTCTTTCTCTCTTTCTTTCTTTTTCTTTTTTTAAAAATCCTTTTTTTGCTTCTGTCTGTGTAGAGAATGGAGAGGCATTCCTGAAATCATCGGAACAAAATCAAATAATGTAATTTGGGTTGACATAATGATTAGAATAGAATCAACGATTTTACACTACATACCGGTACTACATCATACAGCATGTAGATCTAGTTCACTCTTCTGTTAGAGATACCCACTGATGATGTTTCATAAACGTTAGTGGTGAAATCTATATACAGCAAGTTGTTGGTTCACGTTATTTTAAGAGAATATGACATGCATGTATCTTGTATACAAACAATATGTTTTATTTTTGCAAAACTGGAAGGTCATATAAGTGCATAAGATTAAAGGTGTTACTAAAGACACACATGCACGTGACATAAAGAAAAGAGAGAAGAGAGATAATAACCATAGAATGTTTGATGAGAAAGAATGAGGAAATCTCAAAGAGCGCCCGCTAATCAGTAGGAACAAATAAAATTCCTAAAAAAACACAACCCAAAACCCCCCAAAAACCCCGTAGACCTAACGCTTTTATCGCGATCAGTGACAACAACGTCTGTGAAAATGTTCGTCGGATTTTCGAGTAGCAGCCTGTTCAAATCAACTGCAAAAACAAACGTTGAATTTTGATAAGATCTGTCCTTATCATTTACTAGCCCTCGCTCAGAAGAGCTGTAAAAACACAGCCGTTTAAAAGACAAATAAATAGTAAAATTAGTGTCTGTCTGTACTATTGCATCCTTCTCAAGAAAATAATGAACCACATTATTATTATGATTATTATGATGATGATGATGATGATGATGATGATGATGATGATGATGATGATGAT